AAAAATAAATTTAATTCATAATATTCAACTTAGAATATATTTGAATTTCAAAACTCTATTAGCAAGAGATTGATCTTACAGTAATCTTATCTAATGCTAATTGGAATTAATAGAACGTTTCGTTATAATCCTTTTTAACGTTGATATATTGCAATATCGAGAACAACGCTTCAATTTTAAATGAACAAATTATTATGTATCACGATATATACGGTGAATCGAAATCTCTTTTCCACTTATTTGTTACGATAGAAAATCAACTTTCATTGAATCGAATCGAAAGCGATTCTTATTCATCGTCTAGATCTAAGAAGATCATCAATCGACGACCTAATTGAGTCGTCGTCTTATGTAAGTAACGCGATGAACCATGATCCATTGCAGAATTTATAAGTGTTACGAGTGAAACATGTCTAGCTATGCGCGTACCGAAGTAGTCTACTTCGACAGTCAATTGTAGTTCGTCCAATATTAGACGAATCATTTTGATGCAAAATACATTTCTTTTTGATATTAGAGACTTTTGATTTATTAGTTGTAAGATAAATATATTTGAAATACAAATTACTTGTTAATTATTTTTTAGAATAAATAAAATGTCTCTTAATTAAGATTAAAAAAATAAATATAAAATACACATAATACTTACATGTATTTAAACACTGCCCCATAAATGGCAAAGAACAACAATAATAATATGAGAAATGTATTATCTACATAATTTAACACTGTAAGCGCGAAGTATTTCGAATGATGCGAACGTCATTTCCATCAATCTCCCATTCGTCTTCAACTTTAAATGTATATGTACTCACGTAATCGAATTCCATCGTTAATTTATACACACACAAGATTTCTGGGAGCCGCCAGAGATCGTACCTCATTTCACGGCATCATTATTTCGTCCAGTATTTCGTATGAGCACCCAACCATATCGAGTTCCTTTAAAGCCCGTTTCCATGTGCACTCCATCGTGCTGATTCGTGTAAAAGTGTACGAATCGCGATCAGTTGTAATTGCAGCCGGTTGTGGGTAAGCAATTAATCTCCATTGGTCTGACATGCGCGTTAATGCGAAAGGAGCGTGCGCACCATTGACACGTGACGAAAAATGGAACCCAGGAGAGAAATCACGAGTCAAGATTTTCGTGGCGGTAATTGACGTGGGCGGTTTAAGATATCGAGTAATCTTCTTGAGAATACATGACAGGAAATTTGTTTGAGTTTAAAAGGTATGTAAATTATTTATGTTAAACCTATCGATGTGAGATGTTATTACAAGAATGTTATTCATTTTAAATAGAATCACATACTTTTTATATTGAAAACTTTAGTTTAAAAAATTTAACATGAGAAGTAAGAAAAATATAAATATAAGAATATATATATATTCATACAAGCTTGAATTTTCTTCTGCTTCCGAGTTTACAAATTTTTCGACGCATGCGCAATAGGTCATTTCTGAAAAAATTAAAGTTATCTATCATTTATCTATATATCTATATATCATATAATATATATA